ATAATCCTGTTCATTTAACTTTCTGATTTTTTCATGGGCCTGTCGATACCCACGGTTTTCACTTCGCTGATACCACTCGAGCGCCTGCTGCTTATCGACTGGCATACCAAGACCACGTTCATACAAGTAGGCAATATTATATTGTGCATATTGATTTCCGCTATTTGCTGATTTCAGATACCAATCCATTGCAATCTGATAATTTTTTGGTACTCCACGTCCCTTCTCATACAACAATCCAATATTGTTGGCTGCGTATATATTTCCATTTTTATGAGCCTTCAAGTACCAATCCATAGCCTGCTTATAATCAATAAGCACACTCTGGCCATAGTCATATATCCAACCTAAATTATTTTGTGCGTCTGCATTTCCAGTTTTGTTGGCAGATAAAATAAACCAGTCTCTTGCTTTTGGATAATTATCATTTGAATAGTAAATAGAGCCGATTTCATAAAGTGCCTTTCCGTCACCGTTTCTTGCTTTTATTAATACGTCGTAATCAATTTGAATGCTATCCACTAGTTTTACAGTGTTATTATTATCTAGTCACGAAAAAACAAACAAAAAAAGCAGTTTTTTATACCGATAAGACAGTTGAAGAGTTTCTCCTCTGCTAGAAATTCTGTCAACATAATTTTAAAATGAAAGAAAAAAAGGAACCAGAATATAAAAACTCCACTGCTAAGCAAAAAAAATTAAAAATACTCTATCCTATGATCTAATATGAGGATAACGTGATTAGAATAAATTACAATCAACGCTACACACCCAAATCTGTGGTATACATCCAAAGATTTTTTTCTTCTGGAAAAACCGCCATTAAATATTTTTGTATTGTGAACTCTGGTGTGTATTTCTTTCCTTCAGAAATAAACTAGTTAGTTCAATATATACTCTGTAGAAAGCAATATGCAGTCGCTAATGATCAAGAGGTAACTGGGTTTTTTTTTTACTATGTGTGTAACAGTCTGAGCCACATCAAGCATTTTTTTCTGTATGGTAATCTTTCTCACATTTATAAACCTACAAAGAAGTGATAATCTTGGGCTTCTTTTGTTTATTTTAAAGTAGGTAGCACTTCTCTAACACTATAGTTTCAATTTTTCATTGATTGCATATTTTAAGAGAAAAGATATAAGGAGAGTATGAGAAGGATTCTCTACTTTTCATTTTACTTTGTCTTTTGAGTTGCTTGGACCTATTGTGCTTCACTGTTACATATACTAGTATTCAGTCCAGCATAATTATGCTCCCTATTTTATTAATTCATTTTATTGTCTTGTATTATTATTGTAGATATAATTAACTATTACTAGAAGCATTAATAAATGTTTTTAATGTCTTTGGTTACAAGCTCCAAATATATCCCATCCAGTACTAATAATATAGATTGCAAAGGAAAAAAATCCCCAGAATAAGCTGACATTATAAAATGCACAGAATTTGCCACCATCTGTACATTTGTACTTGACTGCTTCTATAATAAGTCCAATACCCCATAGAGTAGCAAGTAGTAGATCTATAGAAAACAAAATCACCCGATTGAATTTTTGTTTCCTGGTTATTCGTCTATAGAAGTAAAAAAGTACATGAAACAAAGACCATATAATGGATATAATAGACTATAAAGTAGTATGTATGAGAAAAAAAAACAATATACCACTCTGTTTCAACTTACTATAGCGTATAGATAATAGAAGCAGGAAGTTGTAGGGAAAGGTACAGGCTCTCCAGAATACTATATATATACATGTGATGAGTAAATGATCATTCCCAAGCCTCTTTAAACCAACTTACCGGACTAGCACCTGCTGCAAAACCCAAATAACCTATACTTGTCAAAAGAGAGGAAGCGAAACCAGAAACGCCACTTATTTGGTGGTTGATAAGGCTGACCGCTCCACTTTTGTGACGCTATTGAATTAGTTCTTTGTGTTGTTGTTTGTTTTGGGGTAAGTGGTGGGCTTCCGTAGGCTGTGTAAGAAAATGGATACGCATCTTGTGCTCCCTGTCTGTGTTCTAAAAACGGTATATGCGTAGATTCCTTTTTGGGAGCCTTTGGAGATTTTACAGGATATGTTGCCATGTTTTGTGGCGTTACTTTAGATTTGTTAAACCACTCGCCACCATTGTTGCTATTTTGCTCGCTTTCAAAATGTGAATACGCATGTTTACCAGAGTCCCATGGATTTTCATTTGAATAACTGGGTGGTAGATGATACGATTGTTGATAATATGATAGCTGGTTATACTCATTCGTCTTATAAAGAGGTTGTTCATGGCTTCCATAAAGATCGTTATCTCTATTATAACTATCTAAAGATATATTGACATCTGCTTCATACGCATTTCCATAGAGAGGAGGAGGATGTTGGTTAGTATTCTTATCCTTATTTTTCCAAGGATTATTGAATAATTTTGGCATATTTTGTAATGAATAGAAAATGATTGTATAAAAGAATAAAAACGAGAGCCAAGACCTTTATTTTATAGGACAGAGTAAATATTTAGTGTTCAGGATGTGGAATATATAAAATCCCGTAAAAAGATTTCCATGATAAAACTAGGTTAAACAGTTCCCACATATCTATGTTCTTGATATCTTTCAATAATAAAAAAAAAGATAAAAAAAAACCTCCAAGGTATATTTTGTAAGAATAGAATGTACATCAATATTTGCAAGTATAGTAAAATTGTATTTTTATATGTTATTTCCACAAAAGTGGCAACAAAGGTAAAGTTCTAATAAGAATATATTCATCTACTTTAGCCTTTATACTTTATACTTTAAAAATCATTAGAAAGGAAAAATGAAAATCCGTTTATCGGCATAAAAGCGGTGACTTAATATTAGACCAAACTGTTGGAGATAAACATTCAAGTCTACTATTGTTCTATTTAGATTCAAGTAGTAATAATAATAATAAGATAAGGATTATCCGATTCTACTATTATGAAATTGTTCTATAAAGGACACATAGTCTTCATTTCATTACCTCTTTACTTTAGTAAGAACTAAATACTTCAATTAGACTATTAACGCCATTTACTGATGTTGTTTTTTAATAATAATAATAAAAAAATGAAAGAAACTTGTATATATACACTATTAATCAATATATTTCCAGTATCTCCTCTTTCATGTACTGTCTTTTTCAAAAAAAATGAGAAAAAGTTTCAAATTATTGAGAAAGGTTGATGACAAGAAAATTAGGCCGAAAGGGAGACTAAGGTGAGAAGATTAAAGGGGGCTAAGTTTATTATCCAATCCAATGAATAATGACACAAGGGCGCATGTTTAGGCGTCTAAATGGATCCTATCTATCGTCAACTTCCTTCTGATTCCTTGTATTGACAACATGCTTTGGTTCTCTACTCTATTGACTGTCTTTATTTATACAATTATTATCTGTTCTTAATAATTCTTCCCCTTTTTCTTATCAATTTGTAATTTCTTCTCAATATCTTGAAATAAATAGTACTGTACAAGATGCATAGATGAAGTATAAAAGTCACAAAAAGTCACAGTACAAATGAATTAAAATCCAGTTCTATTGTGGGTTAAGCTTGATTATCCTCCTTTTATATTCATACATACATAACGCGTTTCTTATTTAAAAAATAAAACAAAATATAAAAATAATGACACGAAATAAGAGTGGAAAGAATAGAGCAGCTCAAAGAAAGGCTAACATGAAGAAGAATAAGAAAACACTTGCTGTTCAGAAAGAACAGGTGAAGTTTAAAAAAGTGTTTTTTGACAACTATTTTATTAACCTGCTGTTCCATTTAGGAAGCTATTCATCAATTCGGCAATTACTCATCAGAAGAAGACCAAGATGATTATGACGATTACAGCGACGAATACGATGATGACGACGACGATAACGACGAGAGTGAAGTATGTGTAAACATAGTGTTTTGAGATTTATTGATTAGGTAATTGATTGTTGTCAAAAGATGGAAGTAGAAGAATTCAACTACGCCATGACTCAGCTTAAGGAGCTTTTAAAAGAGAGTATGAAACAATAATACGAACTGTTGATATTTCTACTTGTGCTAAGTCCACCATATATAACATAGAACCTCACTTGGTGCCTCATTGCTACGAACTATTTCGCACTATGGAAGAAAAGCGGGCTGAGATAGAAGCTGAAAAGGCAGTTACATGCAATACGTGCCATGATACAGAAAGAGCCGAAGTTGAAAACTTGTTAAAGGGTAGGATGTTAAAAAGGAAGAAGTTGATTGTATTTATTGTTGTTGTTTCTGACTTGATAATGACAGTGGTTGACTTTTTAACTGGAAGTGCTGAACAAAAAAATACAAATCAAGCGAATTCATGAGTACATTTATGCATTGAAATGAAAGACGAAAAAAAACAACAAATAGGCCTATTAGATGGAACAAAGTAATCAATTGATAGTAATAATAGCCACACTTGAATATATTTATAAATAAGAATCAAAATATATAGTAAAGGGCATTGCATATTTCATAGCATTCATTATAGAGAGTTAAAAACTGAAATAAACCTAGTTTCATAAAATAGAATCAATTTATGTCAATATTTAAAATAATAGTGACATTTGACAGTTATTTATTTGGTTTTATGCAAGTGAGAATGTTACATTCGAATGTAGTCAAGATGAATTATAGTTCTTTTGATTATAATTAAAACTGGCATTAACAGGGTATCTTTTACAAGTGCTTACGCATACGAGATTAGTTCTCCTCTGTTCATTTTCAAGCTTTTCTCATTAAATATTCTCCTTTTTTCAATAATGTGAAAATATTTCTTAATGACTTTTCATTTTCATGGAAAAGACAGTATTTAACATATGTTGAGATCTTTGTAATAGTATAGAAATCCAAAATGCCACAATTACTGTCTACTGTTGATTCAAGTCCGGCCAATCAAATCACAAATGACGTCATGTCGTGCGCTTAGTAATTATTTAGATTTATTAAATTTATTTTTAGAGTTCCCAGAAATAGGGGCCTTAGCTCAATTGGTAGAGCGTCAGATTCCAAATCTGAAGGTTAAGAGTTCGATTCTCCTAGGCCTCATTTTTCCTTTTGCGTCAAGGAAGCCCTTCATAATTGTTACTTCAAACGACGTGTTTTTGTTAGGTTTTAAAGGATTCAGTAGATTGTAGTGAGCATTAGTAATTGAGTATTACTACTATGGTTTTCGTATACAAAAGAAAAGATTTAAAACAATCGGAATGGAAATAATAAAAAACACAGAATTGGATCAACATAATCCTATGGAACTTCAACAAAGAATAGACAGATTACACCTCGGCGCTAATACTTCAAGTAAAATTGAAGTCAGGTTTTTATCAAATTAAGCAATGTACTTGTATCATTGGAATAACCAGTGCTTGTTAGAAGAAAATGATTGCAACCAAAATGTGAATACCTTCCGAGAAATATCTTTTCGTATATAAAAGTACAGAATGGAATCAAGTATGGTAAAGGATAGCATAATATCCCATGATAGAATGAATATATTTAGTTTCAGTTGTTAATAAAAAGAAACAATATAGCTTTCAATGTCAGAAAGTAAATACCATAATATATTGTCTAATGGATCAATAAAGTGACTCACTACAAAACTATTATAAAATGATGAATGAAACCAGAACTCGTAAATATTATTTTGAGAGTGATGATTAGCTTAAACTAGTTGCTCTTGCTGTCAGCAATAGTCAGTTCAATAGTAGTTTATTCTACTAAAGTCTTTTTAATATGTCATCATTTTATCATTCATAAATTCCGGTTGAGTACAATAGTCTTCACTACTCGGTTTATTTACCCCTTTTAAACCTATTTATATCCAGTGCATGATTAGCAATGAAGACTCCAGACAAGATACCAAAAGGCTAATCTTGTATCAGCTTTGACCTATTTTCATCTTTAGTGATATTTCCGATTAATTACTTCTAGTAAAAATACCATTTTTGCTACTGCAATGTCACCGTTTATATGTATTTCATAGATTGTCTTTAAAAGTAGCCTTGTTAGTGAACGCCTATAGTGAGTATTGGGTTTTGTATTATTTTTTTTTTTTACTGATTAGCCATAGTAGCTTCCAATTGGTCAAATGACACATTGTTTATTTATACATTGTACAAATCAAGCTAAACCCTTCCAGCATATGTTTTTTAACTAAAAATAGAAACCAAGCTTAGAAAGTCGCAATTAAGAAATCAACCTTATAATAAAAAGGGGCTGAACGCACCTTTTCTTTTTCTTTCTTTCTCTTTCTCACACAACTTTTATAAAAATAAAGAAATAAATACAAAAAGAAACATGTTTTGGAAAAAGAAGGAAAAGAAAGAACAAGAGTCTACAAACCCCTTTGAATCGAGCAGTCAGCCCTCTTCACCAGCACCAAGCTACTCATCTGCCCCTTCTTACTCATCTGCTCCCTCGTATACCTCTAATCAGCAAGAATATACTCCTACACCCTCTAGTCGTTATGGTGGTGGTAGTAGATACAATTCAGAAAACGATCAAAACCGTGAACAGTTAATGGGTGGGTATAGAAACGATTATTCATCAAGAGATAGAAGAAGTGGAGCAGAAAATGGGTTATATGATAATCAGAATGGTGATGAGGCAGATGAGGATCTTGAGGTAGCAGGAATGAAGCAACAGATTCGTAATGTTAAGCAAGACTCATTGGCAAGTACCCGTGCTGCTCTTCAAAAGATCCATGAGACCCAAGGAACCGCTGCAAATACAATGAACATGCTTGGCCAGCAATCAAGTAAAGTATCTTTTTATTAATTGCTTTTGTTTAGTGTAACAATTATTAACTGACCTATTCTATTTTTAGCTCAAATCGCCAATGTAAACAGACACTTGGACATGTCCAAAGCTTATTCTGATAGAGCATCAAACCAAGCAGAAGAATTAAGACAATTAAATAGATCCATCTTTGTCCCCGTTGTATCCAACCCATTCAGAAGAAAGGAGAGAGAGCGTCGTGATTTGGAAGAGAAACAAAGGGACCATGCTGAACACATGGCTGAGAGAGACAATATCCGCAAATTTGAGTATGAATCGAATGCTAGAATTGAGCAAGCGAATCGTGCAAATGGTAGACCCGCTCCTGGTGGTCGTAGAGGCCGCTCCGAGGCAGATCGCCGTCGTTACCAATTTGAGGCAGATTCGGAGGATGATGCTATTGAGGATGAGATTGATGAAAATTTGGATCTTATGGGTGATGCTTTGGCTGGTCTTAAGGGTATGGCTATCACAATGAATGCAGAGCTTGATAGTCAGAATGCAGAGTTATCAAAGACAATTAACAAGGTCGATCCACTTAGTAGAAAATTGGTAGCAACCACCGATAAATTAAACCGAACAAAATAAGAATGTTAAAAATATATATTAATAAAAATACCATTTGCTTATGTTTATATATACATAAACAGTTAAAAGCCTATATATAGGAAGCAAATGATATGATAAGGTTAAAATAAGAATATATATACAAGAAAGACAAAATAGATTTTTAATGATACCAAGTAAAAGAGTTATCCAAGATGGCTGAATTTTATTATTATTAATAGTAGGAGTAATAGTAAGGTTTATACAGAGGGAAATAAATAAATATAAATTTTTATAAATGGAAAGAAATTATAATACACAAAATTAGTTCAAAACAAATATCCAATTCTTTTTTAGAAATACTAGCTTTCTTGTTTGGGTGGCAGAGGAGGAAGTGGATGCTTTGGTGGGTTCGTTAATGGAGGCGATCCTCTTCCATTAGTTGAGCAAGTACTTGAGGAATCTATCGACATGTACGAGTTTGGTCGTTTAAAGTCAATGGAATTGGTAATATCGAGTAAAATATCAATGGATGCTCGTTCTTGGTTTATGGGAATATAAGGGCGATTGTTATCTGCTGCTTTTCGTTGAAGTTCCTCTCTTTCGTTGAGTAATTGACTTAACAACTTTCTCTTGTTTTCTAATTCAATGCTTTGAACTTCTACTTGCTCCTTTAATAACTGGTCAGGCTCCACATTGAGTTTGGTCTCCAGTCTCTTTATTAGCGTATCTTGCTTTTGTACAATGTCTTTTAGTCTTTTCATTTCGAGGCGCTGTGTCTCTGATTGTGAAATATAAGTTGATATTGTCATTTGAACACCTTTGTCATATTCTATCAAGTGTTGGCTATAAATATCTGTCTGTTCTTGCTGATGATGTTGACTACCCATCTCTTCCTCCTTTTCTATAAATTGCTGCCTTCTCTTCTCGCTATCATCATCCATATCCATATCGTCGTCTTCGATTTCCTCGTAGACATTCAGTATATCAGTCATAGACCCGTCGTTTTTATTTTCGTCTTGTTCTGTCAAAACAGGATTAGACGGAAACACTTGTGTAAATGCTGGTGAAAGGGGGCTAGTAACACCAGATTTATTACGAATTTGCCTTAATTCCTTTTCTAGTGCATCTCTTTCTTCCGACATCTGCTCAAGTTTCTGAGCAAGATATTCCACGCGTATTTCATAGTCTCTCACCTTTGTTGCATCTGATGAATACTTGTCCACTTGTGCTTGTAATGTATTCATTTTCTCCTCATGTGTTTGGTTTTCCTGCAAAAGCGAACTATGAATTTCCAATAATTCCGCGGCAATTCTATCAAATCTCACCAGATCTGAGTTTAATGACGGTGCTGTTGTCACTTTTTTATTGATGTTGCTTTTGGTGGTAGTGGTAGTATTGATCAATTTTTGCTGGGATTGTTTCAAATCTTGCTTTTCCTCTTGTTCAACTTCTTGTTCAACTTCTTGTTCAACTTCTTGTTCAACTTCTTTTTGTGGTTGTTTTGCTTGTCGTAACTGCACTAGTTGTTGTGGTTGTTGTTCCTGCTTTTGCTGTTGTCTCTGTTTAATAGGTACAGGTGTAAGTACAGGTGCTTGTACAGTCGTGGAAGGCATTGGCTTTTTTTTCTGCTCCAGTTTTTTTATAGCAGACATAATATCTGAAGAAGGATTGCTTTTCGTTGATTTATTAGAACTTTTTTCTTTTGAATTGTTGAGCCTCGCTACAACGTCTTGGACTCCCATGGTAAAAGTGTGTGATAATAAAAAAAAAAAATAGATAATGAAAACAGAAAGAAGATATATATAAAACTGTAAGATAGGAGATACTTAATTCGAACCAAAAAATAAATATTAAAAAAGGGGGGAGAACAAAGGCATTGACCAATAAACATCATGACTTCATTAGCTCGTGCACATAATATCGAAAAGGGAAATATGAAGCATGGAGTTGTTGCCTGTGAATTAACCACCCCGAAGATCTCTTTTTTATTTATTGTTATTATTATCATATTTAAAAAAAAAAAAAAAAGCCTTCAAGAAGCTTCTTTTCCTAATAAAAATCACACATTCATCATCTCTTTTAGATAAGTGTATTCGACATAACAATCGTAACAACCAAAAGAGTGATTATAAACCCCTCTTCTAATATATAACATTGACACTTACCTTATTTTACTAGCTTGACACGACGATTGAAATTTTTTCTCTTTTTGGTTTTTTGTATTTTTGAAGTTATGTTACTGTATACCTACCGTAATACCTACCGCATTGAGATGAAAAAGATCAGGAGAGAGTCCCGACTTTTGTAGGTAGTGTAAAAAAAATAACTCAAAATACATATTACTCAAATATTGAATTACAGACAAAATATAAATTGGTTCATAAGATAGGTTTTTATTTCAAAATTAATAATCGCTGGATTACGCGATGGATATGAGAGAGAAGAAGTGGAGAAGGATGAGAAAAAGGATGGGAGTCTTCATATTACTAGCTTGAAGAAGAAGGATACACATACAAACCTTGACGTGTGAAACTAGATGGCATCATATAGAATGTTCACAGAGAGGATACCACTGGAGGTCTATAGATGGGGAAAGTATTCTAGAGATATGTATTTAATAAAAGTTATTCAGTCAAAGGAGCGATACTTAATTGGTATCGTATGAAGACATGAAAACCATGAAGACCTTTGGAAACTAGGAAGCCTGTGAATATTACCCTTTT